ATAATATATGCTAACTAGCTCATATTTTTTCCTAAACAGAGTTTAAATTATACTACCCTTCTAGAAAAAAGGGCAACAGGTTGTTATACATCCTTTGCTTCTCTAAATTCTCTGCAAAAATAAATATTGATAAAATAATTAAAAATAATATATACGTAAGATAAAGCGGGGCAAAATAAAATTGTAACTATACAGGATCTCTGATAACTTTTAAACTGAAATTATTAAAGGCTTATTTAAATAAAATGTTAAATATATTTACAGCTTTAAATGTGACCAAAAGATATTAAATGACGTGTTAAGCAGCCAGCCCAATTCACTAGGATAGCATAAGTATTCTACTATTTAAAGTGCACAATTCCTGCACATAATGACTTTGCTTACTCAGGCACAGTCTTTAGTCTATTGCAATGGCAGTAAAGTCCACCAATTTTAAAAAGGAAATCTTACTTAAATCAGTGGTACTATCCCACCGTACTAGCAGTAAGGAAATTAGAACAATGATATTGTACTACTGACTGTAATCCGATCAGACACATGTAATCTCAGTGAATTTCATAAACTAGGTTTTCATAAAATAAGATTAAATATCAAAGTTGTTTATATATTAATGTTGTTTATAAATAAAAGTATGTAGACTAGGCAATAACAGCATTTACATGCATTCAGCAGCCTGCTCTCTCAAAGCCAGAAACAGATTTATAAAAAAAATAAAAAGTAGGTTTTAAAAAGTCCACAGTCAACCACACATGAAGGGTGAAATAATTGCTTCTTTAAAAGCTATATGCTGCCGCAGTTATGTATATAAATACAGATTAGGGAACAGCGTAGAAATAAAAATTGTTTTAAATCTCATATATGAGGATTCAGTTCCACCACATATTCTACAATTCTGAAAGAGGCTAATTTTAATAATATGTTCTCTGTAGTAAAAGTTCTCGGAGTCACCCTCTCCAGGACAAACTAGCCAACAGTAAGAAAAGGTTGGTGGTGCGGTGAGGTGGGCTGGAAAAAAAATTCCCTAAATTTCTCTAATAGAACCAATGGTTCTAAGCTCTCCCTGGTGCAGAAATATGTTTGTCAGTGAAAAATATGTAACATTTCATATGGTGTCTCACCATTTGTATCATCAGGTATGTTGTGAATGCTCATCTGTACCATAGGAATAAATAGATACCACTGTGTGGGGCAAGCAACTAGTAACTTGGTTAATAATCATTTAACCTCAGCATTTTCCCAGACCACAACCCCACTTCTTTGGGGGTGGTTGGGGCACTGAAATCCCAAAGTAACCCAAATGTGGTTGCCCAGTTTTAGGTTTCCTTTGCAGTAACTGCAGGACCACCATCCAAATGGATGGTCCTGGGATTATCAAATGCATACTAAGGAAGTGAGACTAGAAAACGTGGCATCAGAGGTTGCACTTCGCACAGGATATATCCAAGTAAACCTGGTACATGCATCAACACATACAAAAACATATTTATAACCATGAGATGTTGGCAAACTTTCAATATATAGTAATTCAAAAAGTATGTTAGATATTAATATTTCAATAAACAGTACATCAGTAATGTGGCAATAAGCAAATGCTTATGATTACTAAACACATGAATTACAGTATTTCCCATATTGTGACCACCAATATTCCTTTTCAGGAGTCAGAAGTACATTACCTCTCTCTATAAGAGCTTGTCCTAGCCATGAAAAAGCTTTTGGGCAAGTCTATCTTTCCTCTATAGGAAGAACAACCAACATATTACCTTCAATGGTTATTATGTAATTAACCCCTCTAAACGATAGGAGTATTTATGCGGATACCAGGTGGATAAGGTCTGGATATCCTTGCAAGCATAAACTCTGCATCATGACTGAGAGATAGGGTATGCGATGTGATCCAGTGACCACAGAAAAGCGTTGGTAGACACATTGCATCAAAGTGCCTGTTAATGACCAACTACATGAGGAGAGGGTCCATGCTTTGTTATAAGCATGTCCATACACATATTACAATGCCAGGCTTTCAATTTGTTTCCACAAAGCAAAATGCAGTTGTGGATATAAACTCACGACGTATCGTAAGAAAAACTGTTTGAACACCAGACTGAGATTCGAGATCAGTGAACAGTGGACCAAAATAGATAAATGAAATCCTATCAATTAATATACTTTCTTTATATTACTTTATCCTCTGTATTAACTATGAAATATTAAAGTTAAAAACAATAACATTTAAAAGCCAACTTTTAGTGTGTATAGGAATTACAAGGCCGTTCATAATGTGAGATAAAGAACAGCTTTTTAAAACCGAATAGTCTGTGAACACAAGATGACCTTGCGCTGAAAACTCACTTGCAGGGGAAAAATAAACATTTTTTCTTTTTCTTTAGTAAATTAATTAATTAATTAAACGTAGTTAGAACCTCCCTCAAAGTCCCGATGACTTTGCAAGAAACATGTCGTCCTTAAATACTGGGTAAGTCTATTAAACAGTGACATAGCATTGTTACCATGTGTATTATGTTGTCAAAGCTATAATGTGCAGTATAACAAACTATTTTATAAGTGTTGGGCAAACTGTTCATTAAAAGCCAGTAGTCTAGTGAGCTATAGAACATTTATTTATTTATTCTTTAAAGCTCTGACCTCAATCGGCAAAGCAATATTGTAATGGTGTCCATTGCAATCTGCTGTCTTACTTGCTGCTCTTAAAAATTCTGAATATGTTCAGAGATTTCTTGGGCAATAATAAATCCCCCAAAACAACAACTTTGCATTTATGCTAAACCTGCCTGTTGTAAACATATTCTGTATATTTCTTGACATAAGTACTTGTACTTGAATCTGTATAACAAAGCTGTTTATATTGTGCTGTAAAATATATTTTTATTATTAATTTATTTTTTTATTTTATTTTTTTTTTAACTTTGCTTAATTTTTAAAGATACCTGCATATTTAATTAAATATTCTTTATATGTCTTTAAGGCATAAAATATCTGCAAATTAAGATTGTATACAAAAATGCATGTTCTGGGTGTTCCCGTGATTCCTTTTCTATCATTTATTTATTTATTTTAAAAAAAATTTAAGTCTGGAATCTGATTCCTTTTGGGATGAGCACCCCTCCGAGCCCCCCAGTTTCAGAGGCTTCTTTGGAGGTGACCACTGAAAAGTATAGATTATATAAAATAGATGTGAGGGGGCATTGGACAGTAATGTCTCTGTTGCAGATGTGATCTACCATCGTACTCCTTGCTCTTTTGGTATAACTATACCAATCAAAACGTTAAATGGCTCCATAGAATCAAACGACAAAGCATTCTTGCTATATTCTGGACTTCCAGGAATGTGGTGCATGGACAGAAAATTATAATTACTAAAGCAATCATGCTATTTTTTCCCCTGTATCAGAAATGTGTCAGTGACAATGTGTAATATAATACAGATACTATAATTAATGGTATAAGAAACACATAATGTGTTAATTACAAAGGTGGATAAACTTTGTGAATATCTGAAACGCAATTGAAGATTATTCCTAAAATGCCATATGCAGCTGCAGTCTGGCCTACAAACAAATATATTAAACATACGTATAAGAGCATAACAGCTGATTACCCAGATAAATAATTGAATCATGATAGTTAAAGATCATATGATTGCAATAACAACTGCAATAATGAATAATGTTTAAACTTTAGAAGAAAATTTAAAATGTTTTTATTAAATCAGAAACTACTCGATATTCGTTTAAGTTTGCAGAGTGGTATAATTAATATAAGTGAAATACTTCAACAGTTAAAATTGAACTGAAAGACAGGCAGAAACTTTACTTCAACTATCATAAAGTTTAATTATAATGATAAAAATATTCAGTCTGCCAGAGCTAAGTCCAGTCAAGGGAAAGTAAAAGAGTATTATGGATTAACCCATCCAGGTGATATACATGATTATTTTGGAAATTGATAAGTTAGGTCACCTATTGCAAACTTGTGAAAAGATGTCAAAGATATAAATTCAACATCCATACCACTCTATGTATATATATTAAAATACACGTAATCAAATATTTTATCAGTTTTTCAAATACCAAGAAAATGTTATTTGATTTGTAATGGTTAAAGGTACATAAAACCACTTATACAAAGGTAGAGTTAAAATATAAATACATTCAATATTGTATCGGAGTGCTTTCTTAACTCACTTTTAGAAATAATACAAATTCTAATCATCTCAAGCTACACCCAACAGCCACTGAAAAATATACTTAAACAATTAAGATTCTCATTGTTGAGCATCCAATCTCACGTATGTAACTTTCCACAATGGCTGTCAGATCTTGGTTAAAAAAAAAAAAAAATGGTTTGAAGACAATTTTGGGGTGTTTCTGGTATTTTAAGCCACTAATAACTGTAGTTATTATATTTACTAATTATATCTTAGGCAATAAGTTGTCTTCTCCCTAACAGGACAAAGAAAGATAATTAACGTCATATTTCCAATTAGCAACTATTCTAAATATATTGAGACATTTTGAATAAAGTAGTATTTTTACAATTTAAAGAGAATGTAATTTTACATACCATTATGAACAAAGGCGGTAAATACTTTGCTGCTTCAAATTATCCCTATATCTCTAAATCATATACAGGGGTGTTTATCTTTAATACAAAACACTAGAAAGATTAACTATGTTACTATTTCATCTATCATTATTATACAAACTATAACAAATGTAAAGATTTTTCCACAGATTTTACCTGTTAACATTTTTAGCACAACAGCACTTGATGTCAGTGAGATGTCTATCACTGAGATGTTACAAAGATTCCAATACAGCAAAAAGAGGCGTTCTTGAGGATCCACTTAGAATGCTGTATCAACATAACATTTACTATAATGGGATCCATGTCACTTAAGACAATGTCTTGGAAATTATGTCAATTAATTGATTCCGTAAAAGAATATCGGAGAGAGTATCCAATCTATACACATCATAAACGGTGTAAAAATTTCATGGAAAAAACAAAATAAAATGCAAAGACAAATACCAACACCATCACCATGGTGATAACAGATGATGCTGATTCAATATCTGCGACCAATTCTAGCCAAATATTTGGAAAGCTGGACTCTACAACCTATACTCTACAACTAATACCGGATATTCTACAAACACAACCTCCAGCAATGTATCTAAGGAATGTAAACTTCTACAGGCCTTTAAAGACTTTGGATTACAAATACAATTACTACTTTTAGCTTTGGATTACAATTCGTATCCAGATCCATCCAAGTATATCTTACTCTGGAACTTGGTGTTCTTTTCAATTCTTTCCCAGACAAAAGCTTTGCTCATTTTAATCAACCACCTTTACAGGCAAAAATCACACTACGGATATTTTACTGTTACAACAATGATCAAAGATGCTGGGAGCACAAAAAAAACAAAAGACAGTTGGAGAACTTTGGTTTACTAATTTAAGAAAGAAATGCGCTACAATGCCCACAGTTTAATGGAGAGGGTGTTACGGGCAAATGCAAATATTACAAGTTTTAGAATGAAATGTTGTATTTCTTAAACTGTGTACTTTGTCTTTAAGAGATATTGCAAACTGACAAGGTGTTAGAAATGGAACATATTGTTTTTCATAACTGTTTCTTTAAGCAATAACCTCAGTGCATAATATGTTTGCGCCATTTTGTCCCAGACGAATTACAATAACAATAATGCATAAACAAGCTTCAAGGCTATACTACGACACTTGCAGTACACAATATACTGTGGTAACCCCAAGTTAATGGAACTTCCCCAAATCCGGGAATCTCCCACGACTGTACACTTACGACTTAGTATAAACAACAGATAACCTATTCAGACTTTAAGATGCCATCTTGAACTAAGTCAGGAAAATTTCCATGACGTATACACCCTTTAGTTATGGCCTTGTATGTTTGCCAAATTAAGGGAGGTCCTAAATTGAATAAAGTAAAAGAAGTGTTACTTTTTCATATTTGAACTACAGTAACCTAAAATGGAGACATCTAAGGTATAAATAGGTGTACTTTTAAATGTTAAGACACAGAGGAGAGACTTGGAGACAGACGCTGCTCCATCTTAAAATGACAGAGAGGCTGACATGATGACATGTTCAGAAGGGTATGTTAACCTATTAATGATATTTGCAAGCATGTAATTTAATCTTATAAACTCTGCTACAATGGATTTTATATTTTTATATAATAAATATCCAAAAGACAATCTTGCTTCCAAGACAATCCTTATTTTATATTGTATTCTCAATTATTTATATATGTTAAATAGAGGATCTCTTACACTATATAAGATATCTGTATGGTTAGCCCTACTAAGTTCTATGCTTTAAGACATTATAGTGGTAAATAAGGGAACCACACACGGTTACAATATAAACTTCTGTCAAATACAATGTGAGGTTTAATGTCAGGTTCCAAAACTGACATGCAAGACTTTTTCGTTTATTACTGCCCCTTTAATTTCACTTCCTTATTTTCACCTCTAGTGGCCTCCCTAGCCACTAAACTTTTCTCTCACCCTATCATCCTCACCTGTATTGAATAATGAGGAGGCTTCATAAATCGACACCCTGCACACATCAGTGCCTTGACATTGAAGTCAGTGTTCTGACATGGAGCTTCTGAAAACAACCTGTATTTATCTGCATTATTTCAATCTTAAGAGATTTACCTGCTTGATCTACCATATTGAAGATCCTTAACTGCTTCAACTGCTGCAAAACTGCATGATCCTGTAAGCAACCTGTATTACTTTATACTGGAATCTACTTACCTGTCTCAACTACTGAAACTCTGCATAATCCTGTAAGCAACCTGAACTATATTATACTGAAACTATTTACCAGCTTTAACTATTTCAACCTGGTATCATCCTGAACCTGACTGCAGTGTGACATTCCACAAACTACTAATCTCCTTGGAATCACTTCAAACCTACTTGTATATAAAATACTTTAATTCATTTACTTTCAAGATATCCCATTTGTGGCATATAGGCTTTTATTCTGTTTTTCTTACAAAATATTCTATTTGTGGCAGATTGCCTTAATTCTTTATTTCAAGTAAATTGTTTTGTCTAAAAAGACAAAGTTTCAACCAATAACCCTGGCAATCGTCTCCTCTCTGGCCTGCTCAGGAACATGACATTTAAATCAGGTATAGCATTTAGTACAAAGTCCAAGAAATGAATCAATGTGAAGCAAACATTTTGTGATTATAATAAAAGGACAGATATTTCATGTAAATTATTTTAATGGTACTTTCTAGGCAAGAAAACACTTACAGTCATTCTTCTGATGAGACATCTTCACAGAAATAATCCAGACTTTATTTGCATGGTGTATGCTGTATATTTAGAAAAATTACAAAGGCAAATGTCTATTTTTGCTATATCACTAGTTGACATTTACTAATCTATTTTTACTAATCTTTACTAAAAAGTGAGTGGTCACAAAATTTCATGAATGCACAAATATGTTCATAAATTACTCCCTTACGGACACATGACAACACTTTTCCATCACGTTGGCCTTTTATTTCTGAAGTTGTGTCCTAAAGGAGTTAAATATATTAAATTACAATTTTGTAGATATACCACAGCTTGTACCTTCAAGGTGGCCAGCTAGATTAGTGGAAATTAAAGGACCACTATAGGCACCCAGACCACTTCAACTTAATGAGGTGGTCTGGGTGCCTGGTCCAGCTAGGGTTAACCCTTTTTTTTTCTATAAACATAGCAGTTTCAGAGAAACTACTATGTTTATAAATGGGTTAATCCAGCCTCTAGTGGCTGTCTCATTGACAGCCGCTAGAGGGCTTCCGTGCTTCTCACTGTGAAAATCAGTGAGAAGACGCCAGCATCCATAGGAAAGCATTGAGAATGCTTTCCTATGGACTGGCTGAATGCGGTGCTCCTGCCGCGCATGCGCATTCAGCCGAAGAGGAGGCGGAGAGGATGAGGAGAGTTTCCCACCCGGCGCTGGAGAAAGAGGTAAGTTTAACCCCTTCCCCATCCCCCCCCAGAGCCTGGCGGGAGGGGGGCCCTGAGGGTGGGGGCATGCTCAGGGAACTATAGTGCCAGGAAACACTATAGTAGTCCTTTAAGCTTATCAGGGTCAGAGGTCTAAGGCTGCTCTCTTTGCTGTGTTGCTCAATGAAGGGAGGCACAATGCTCTTGCTGTATGTGACCCAGGATTTAGCCTGACTCTTAGACTATGAGGATTCTAGGCACTGCCAATGTGTGGCTGCAGAGGAGACATTCCTCAACCAGCCCCCAAGGTACAGGGCCATCCTTTTTTTCCATTGTGTATCTATATTCCCATGTGTGTGTGCTTGACTTTGTCTGTGTTTGTGTGTGCTTGTCTGTGTTTATCAACGCCTGTTTGTCTATCGTGAAGAGATACAGGGAACATGACACGATACAGTTGTGCTCAAAAGTTGACAAAGAAAATGCCTTATATAACAAATTTTAACATGTGGTTTGGCTATTTCATTGCTGCATATACATTACACCAGCTTTTTCTTATTATACATACAAGTAACAGAGTTGTGACTTTTATACTATAACAGTATGAACTGGGGAAGGGGTTAGATTGGGGGGAGGGTGAGAAGGAAATATACGTAGAATCATTTTAGGTTAATAATGTGTTTTATAACAATAGCAGGATAGATAGTTGTCCCTTTCTGATTGTCAGTGGGGCAAAGGGTCAGAAGTTACTACCTCGCCTGATTGTGCATTGGGTGGCATAGCCTTCTATTGTGTGTGTGTGTATGTATGTGTATAGCTGCTCACAGCCCCTACAGGTGAGGTTTGTTAGGCAGTGAGCCAGAACTCCTTAGAAAACCTGGGCTGGACTCAAGCACAGCCAGTTTGACAGTGGGTGGAGAATTGGCCGACCCTGCTCTTCCAAATACTCCACCCCAGGGACCCAAATAACAGAGAAAAAAACCTACATTTAACTTTCCCTGGGGCTGCATGTGCTTACCACATGTCAGGATAGTGGCTGTGCAAAAGTCTGGGTGCCAGATATACACCCTTGACCACCATCCCCAACACTCACATATCCTCCCTCCCCTAGCTCAGACCTAGTGGGGTGAGTGACCACAGATAATAAACTCAGTTGTGAAAAAACTGTCAGCATTTCCATGTTTAGAACCGGGCCTATGTTCAGCTGTAAAATGAAATGGTTGCAGATACCCAGCAGATATTTTAGTGAGTCTAAAGCCCATTTTATGGCAAGGCATTCTTTCTCCACTATAGAATAACTTTTCTCAGCGGGAGTCAGCTCCCTACTGGGTGTTCTTCACCCTGAATTTCCTGAGACAGAACCACCCCTAACCCAATCTCTGATGCATCGGTTTGCACAATGAACGTTTTAGTAAAATCCGGGGTTACCAGAACTGGTTGGGTGTACAAAGCCTCTTTCTAATTTACAAATGCTTTTTCTGTCTCTAATGACCACTTCACCACTAGTGGGGCTTTTCCTTTTGTGAGATCAGATAAAGGAGCCTCTAATGTAGCAACATCAGGAATAAATCGCCTGTAGTACCCAATAAGTCTCAAGAAAGTCCTGACTTGCGTTTTAGTGAGGGGGCATGGCCAATTTTGTATGGCCTTCACTTTTGCTGTTTGGGGCTTAACAAGCCCTCTCCCAGTCAAATAACCCAGATATTTTGCCTCTTCCAAACCTATAGTACACTTAGATGGGTTAGCAGTTAAACCAGCTAGGCGGATAGAGTCCAGTACTGCCTGCACTTTGGGAAGATGTGAAGCTCAGTTAGAACTGTGAATGACTATGTCATCTAAGTATGCAGCAGCATAACGGCTATGAGGCTTGAAACTCCTATAAATTAGTCTTTGAAATGTGACAGGGGCCCCATGTAACCTGAATGGTAGCACCTTGTATTGGAATAATCCCCCTGATGTTGAAAAACCTGTCTTTTTTTTTTTTTTTTTGCTCTGTCTGTAAGAGGTACTTGCCAATAACCCTTCGTCAGCTACCGAGCCTTACCCAGTCTCTCTATTAGTTCATCAACCCTAGGCATTGGATAAGCATCAAACTTTGACACACTATTTAATTTATGAAAATCTTAACGAGCCATCAGGTTTTGGCACCAGTACTATAGGGCTGTTCCACTCGCTTTGTGATTCCTCAATAATATCAAGACCTAACATTTTCTTAATTTCAGCATTTACAGCGTCTTTCTGTGCCTTTGGAATTCTGTATGGTTTAATACTTATCTTCACCCCTGGTTCTGTAACAATATCATGCCTGATAATGTTAGTCCTGCCTGGAACTACAGAAAATACATCCTGGTTTCTACCAATAAAGTCCCTTACTTCCTGTTTCTGGTGGGGGGACAGTGTGTCTGGTATGTTTACTTCAGGTTCACTATCAGTCCTATTTGTGACAAT